CTGTCTCCTTCCCACTCCTGGGAGCACTGACCCTCCTGTCTCCTTCTCATTCCTGGGAACGCTGACCCTCCTTCTCCTTCCCATTCCTGGGGGCGCTGACCCTCCTGTCTCCTTCCCACTCCTGGGGGCGCTGACCTTCCTGTCTCCTTACCACTCCTGGGAGCACTGACCCTCCTGTCTCCTTCCCACTCCTGGGAGCACTGACCCTCCTGTCTCCTTCCCACTCCTGGGAGCACTGACCCTCCTGTCTCCTTCTCATTCCTGGGAACGCTGACCCTCCTTCTCCTTCCCATTCCTGGGGGCGCTGACCCTCCTGTCTCCTTCCCACTCCTGGGGGCGCTGACCTTCCTGTCTCCTTACCACTCCTGGGAGCACTGACCCTCCTGTCTCCTTACCACTCCTGGGAGCACTGACCCTCCTGTCTCCTTCTCATGCCTGGGGGCACTGACCCTCCTGTCTCCTTCCCACTCCTGGGAGCACTGACCTTCCTGTCTCCTTACCACTCCTGGGAGCACTGACCCTCCTGTCTCCTTCTCATGCCTGGGGGCACTGACCCTCCTGTCTCCTTACCACTCCTGGGAGCACTGACCCTCCTGTCTCCTTCTCATGCCTGGGGGCACTGACCCTCCTGTCTCCTTCCCACTCCTGGGAGCACTGACCCTCTTCTCCATGGTGCTGGATCCCAGGGAAAGCAATCATAATCCTGGAAGGGAAAATAAGACAAAAACCTCCGCCAAGCCCTGCAGGCTTACCCCTCCCCACACTGAATGGCCTCCAAGGCAGACCTAGATCTTAGACTCTGAGGCCAGGCAGATGGTACACGGTGGCTAGCACCCATGCTGTCCTCTTGTGTTCACCCTGGCCAAAAAGGCTCATGGAGGCCCACAGAGGCTCCTCAGACAGTAGGAGCAGGCTCCGTGGGAAGAGTAAGCATGTTTGAGGACTTAGGACCTCAACAACCCCCTGCCTACCTAGGAAGCTGAGACGAGGAAGGACATACACAGAAGACAGTCCAAGGGTCTGCTGGGCTGACATGAGCTCACAGTAGCAATTTACACAATGCCCCTCCCCCTCCTTCCCATGTTCCCCTCCCCCTTCAAGCTCTCCCCTCAAAAAAAAAACACCTTTTTTTTTTTTGTCTGAAAGGCTACTACTGACTGGAGTCCCTGGTTGCTAGGTGATGAGAACTCAGTCTGGCAGGGAGAATAGGGAATAGGGCAGGGGCTGCTGGGCTTTAGTGCCCCACCCCCCAGCCCTACAGACAGCTGGGCACAGAGACCCATAGGCCCAGTGGCAGGCAGAAGCACACAATGGTAGATGCAGGCACTAGGCCCCTACAGCACAGACACACCATCAAAGAACACCCAAACAATCCCAGGCTTCTGTATATAAACACTCCCCACCACCCAGACAGACACAGCAGGAAGACAGGAGACTTGGATTCACACAAACACAGGCACAGGTGCACCCCAGATGCCTGCCACTCTGCAGAGAAGAGAGGGGCCTCTTCAGGCTGTACCAAAGCACAAAGGGACCCCCCCAGAGCAGGGACAATAGGACACCCAAGGAGAACCACATCCTCTCCCCAAGAATGCTGCCCACCCCATCCATCCCTCTTTCCACATCCTCTAGAAGAATAAAGGCCATCTTCAGTCCAGAGCCCAGACAGGCTTGTGTACCACCTTCTCTTCCTCGTTGGGGATGCTGGAAATGCCCCCTGCTCCTATGGTCCACTGATACCTTCAGCAAATAAAAGCTGTGGGACTACACACACACACACACACACACACACACACACACACACACACACACACGGTACCTGTATGTACCAAGCCTGGCTGGCTTGGAACTTGCTGGCCAGGCTGGCCTCATACTCACAGAGATCTGCCTACCTGTCTCCCAAGTGCTAGGGTTAAAGGTCACCACCACACCCAGTGAGTGACCCTGGGACTTTTACAGAGGAGACAGACACATTGTATGCCAAGAGACCCTCACTTGGGGCAGTGTCCTAAGAGGAGCATTTGAGCAGGAGACTGAAACAGTGGTGGGGAATCATCCAAAACACGGGCAAAGGCTGCAAGAGTGAATGGAACAGGCCTGAGGGAGCGGAGTGTGAGCTAGGACTCTCCTCATTGCTATGAGCAAGTATCCGACAAGAAGCAGGCCAAGGAAGGAAGGGTTTGTTGCGGCTCCCAGTCTGAGGGTGCAGTCCGTCATGGTGGGAAGTCCTGGCGGCAGGAACATGAGGCAGCTGGTCACGTGGCATCCACAGTGAGGAAGCAGGAGAGACGAACACTGGTGCTCAGCTCCCTGCCTCCTGTCCTCAGCCCAGGAGCCTAGCCCACAGGAATGGTACCACCCACCACCAGGGTGGGTTTTCCCTCCTCAGCTGAACTCTGGGAACACCTCCCAGACCTCCCAGAAGTGTGCTCCCATGGTGATTCTAAATCCAGTCACACTGAATGAAGATTGGCCATCACAGGGGAGCCACAGTGGCAGCGCACAGGGACACAACAGCCAACAGGAAGCTGGTACCCTACAAAGCTTGGGGAGTGCCATTAATTCTAGAGGAAGGCATGGGGAGTGCCATTAATTCTAGAGGAAGGCTTGGGGAGTGCCATTAATTCTAGAGGAAGGCTTGGGGAATGCCATTAATTCTAGAGGAAGGCTTGGGGAGTGCCATTAATTCTAGAGGAAGCAGGTCTAGAAGGGAAGCCTGGGTGCAGAAGGCCACAGCCTTAGGGATGGCCTTAAGGACCGAAAGGGAACAGATGTGCAACTTGGCAGGTACAGGACCAGGTGCTAGGCATGGTGGGGTGTCTTCTGTTCCCTGAATAAATCCATTCTTGGTGCCTTCCTTTGGGAGCATGCCCTTGTCTGTCAGCACAACAGTGCTGGGCAGCATGAAGCCGAGATCCACTCCCACCCTCTGAGGCCACTGCTGACAGCTCCTGCCCTGTGACCTACACTGTGGTCGGTGTCTCGCCAGAGCTGGGAAGGATGGGGGCCGTGGACCAGTTGAGGGCTGGCATAGCTGAGCAGTTGGGGCAGACCTCCAGGTAGGCAGTGCCCAGCATGTGCAGGAACTGTCGCCTGGTCAAAAGGCGAAAATACTCTAGTTCAGGAGCCTCAACACTCCATGCAGACCCAGCCACAGCAATTACACTACAAGAAAGTGCTGGAACACACCCACCACAGGCTATGAGGACAAATATTAGAATAAGTTGGCATATCAGATCATCCAAAAGTTCAGCCTCATCAGGAAGCCTGATGTATGACAGAATTGAGCAGGCCTCTCCTGGGCTCATCCTCCTTCACGTGACCTGTAAGTTGATTTGTGGATTATCATCTCCAGATTTAATTAAACTAACCCTAACAAAATGAGCAAGTGGCTTAAGAAGTGTCCTGTTTAGGGAGCAAGGGTGAAGATAAGGGACGCAGATGCTCAGTGAAAGACTCGGGATGTGACATCGGTTCTGCCATTCCCTGTGGTTCATACACATGGATGCTGACGGGCCTGGAGACCCCTGCGGTGGGGGGGGGGGCAGGCAGCTCCACTTTATATCCTACATGGCACAAACAAAATACTGAGAGGAATACATCTTGGCATCCAAGTAAACTTCCCCAGGGCAGCCCACGCTGCAGGTCTCTGGGAGGTCAAATTATTATAGTGAGTCTGTATTACAGCAATGATGAAAGTGCAGTAGAAATGTTAAGCATCTTGGGCTTTTAACTATTTTGAAAACAGTTGTAGGTTTATTACTGAAGAATCACACAGAGAGAGTTCCTGAAAACCCTCCCCTACCTCCCCCTAGTGGTAATATGTCAAATAACCAAGGTGCCCTTGAATTTATAAGAAATGGATGTTGCTATATCATGGGGGAGTAGTTTTAATGGTATCACAGATGCCTAAGAAGACACAGGTCTACCTCACCCCTGTGGTTTCTCAAAGCCCACAACTCCAGTGCAGGAATAAGAAAGCACCAAGTCACCAAACTCTGGGACTTCCCTGAAGAAACCAGCAGTCCTCTTTCAAAGATAAAGATGTAATCAGTAAGGAGAGGCTGAAGAACAGTGCCTGGCAAATCAACAGAGACCTGAACATCACCACTCCTCCTGAGCTACCCCAACTTGCTCTTTGTCCCACCCATGGATACCAATGGGGACCTCAAAGCCTCAGCTGACTGTGTCATGGCATATGCAATGTAGCACCCAGCTTATTCCCTGCACACACACACACACACACACACACACGTACACACACACGTACACACACACACAAACATGAGTGGAAAAACAGGGCATCTTATCACCAATGAACAGGGATGCTGTGGCTTTGTTCTAGACTCTGGGACTTCATGTATGTTCAGGTTGTATCTACCAGGGCAACCAGCTGTCAATCAAGTTGGGGGTTGACTTGTAACTAAGCTAATGGCAAGCTTGAGTCAAGAGACAAGACAGTCTGGGTGGCCTTGACCACAGAGTCTGAAAGGCCTGGTGCAGTCACAGTGAATCTCTGAGCTGCCCTTAGTGTTCATGGGTGGGGCAGGAGGCAAGCTAGGGCAGCTAGGCAGGAATGTTGATGCCTGAGTGACAGGGAGGAGGGAGACAGATGAGCATTATTGAGCCCGTGAATAGAGGTGACAGTGGACTATGAGGGGAGCTTCTGTCCCCCGGAGAGCCAAGCCTGGGCCTCAGAGCTGCTTTCCTGGGAGACAGCATCTTTTGTGCAGCAGAGACCCACCTCACACACTGCATCACATGCATGAGCTAACACAGCAGGAGAGCCAGGGCCCATCGCCACTGTGTCCCTGTGCTTGAGTCATCTTGTTCTGAGCCGCCTGCCTCCTGTTTAATGAATGAAGGAGACCGACTGGGGAAGCGGGGATGCTGCCTGGGGACAGCCCAAGCCTGAGTCCTTTCCCCGCCATGCATGCCCTGAAACAGAGACAGGGAAGCTGTACTCTGGTCCTGAGCTCCCAGCCAGCCAGCTCCCTGTTGGTCGGGCTCTGGGTCAACAGTGTCAGTGATGCAGATCAGGTTGGGGTGGGGGACCAGGAGGAGGGGGCTCCACTGTAGTTACTGCTGCTGTGTGAGGAGCCGCTCCTGACTTCCCAGCATTAAACAGTCCCATTTCCTCTGTGCTCAACCCTGAGGGACAGTACTTCAGACAGAGCCCAGCAGGGTAGCTCACCTCCACCACTGCAGCCCTGGTTGGGAAAGCTGAAGCCTGGTGGTGACTACAGCCACGGAGGGTTAGAGTCACTGGGGGCTTCTTCATCACACATCCCTCAGGGGGCTGGACTGGGATGCAGGCTGGTGGCGGGCGACATGTGACCTTCCTGCTTGGCAGGGGCTTAGAGCCTGCTACAGAGAAGGCAGAACCTGACCCTTGCCTCTGACCAGCATTCTGTCCAAGGAAGGCTGGCCCAGATCCAAATCCGAGGCCAGCCCTTGACAGCGAGAGGGAGGAGAGAGGACACCTTTGCGATGGATCCTGTGGGCTGGGCCATGTCCTGACCCACTTTAGGAAACGCCTCTTCATTCAGGGTCCTGTGTCTGTCCCCAGGTTCACACAGTGACCTTCCTTCTGGCCTTCATCTCCCCTGTAGCCGCCACCACTGCATTGTTGATGCAGCCCATGGCTTGGTCTGCTGGCCTCAGTCTCCCTACCTGACACTTCACTTGACACAGTAACCCGAAGAAGAGACCCGGCTCCTGGCCTGCCACATCCCCCAGAACAAGCCATCTTGTGTGACACTCTGACCTCAGAAACTACTTATGTCATCTATCAGGGATGTGACTTCTCCCTCTGCCCCAGCCCTGCACCCCACCCCTCTATTCAACCCCAGCCTTCACCAACTTGGCCAGTAGCCAATCTAACGTTCTCGGGACCCCTCTATTTCCCTGAGCCCAGACCTGGGGACTCTAGTCCTGCGATCCCAGTCATGCTTCAGTGACTCTACTGAGGGTCTAGCTTCCCTGAAACTTCTCAGAGATGGAGCCAACACCTACCAGCTGCTCATCTTCCCCTCGTGTCATAGGTCCAGGCAAGGATACAGCCTTGTCCCTGTGGAGTGCACATCCCAGGAGACTCATAGTGCATAGGCACCAAACCAGCAGATTGTGGTCGGGGTAAAGTGGCAGGAAAAGGAGCGAATGGCCCCTGTGGCAGGCTGGGAGAGGAATGGAGGAATGAGCAGGGGGTGGGTGCATGCAGAAGGGGGGCAGGACTGGGCTGGGACACTGCACCCTGATCAGTCATCCTCCAGCCCTAGCTGGCCAGTCAGAGCTTGGGAGACAAATACCCCCAGAACTGCCCCTGTGAGGGAGGGGCATACCTCATTCCAGGCAGTTGTCTGCAGCTGATCCTGCGATTTGAGCACCTCCCACAGGTGCTTTGTAATTAAGACTTCCTGGTAGTTAACTCTGGGTCGAGTTAGCCGGGTTAAACCAATACTTAAGCTGAGGTCAGTCTAGATGCTACTGTAAAGGTGTGTTTTAGACAACCTTCACATTTAAATCAATGGACTTGGAGGAACTCCGATCACTGACTACAGCACAGTGGGTCTCCCTTGACCATCAAGGCCAGAAGAGAGCAGAGGCTAATCGCCCCTGAAGGAAGGAAGACTTCAGATGCTCTCACACTGGAACAGTAAGGCACCTCTTTTCAGCTGTCCAGCTGTTGATTCCCTTCTCTGGGGAGCCATCATTTACACAGGCTTGAATAACATGAAGGACACTGACACACAGGTTCGTTCAATTAAGAACGTGAGGCTGCCTGGCAGTGATGGAGCACACATTTAATCCCAGCCCTCGGGAGGCAGAGGCGAGCTTATCTCTATGAATTCGAGGCCAGCCTGGTCTACAGAGGGAGTTCTGGGACACCTAGGGAAACCTCGTTTCAAAAAGAAATAAAAAAAGGAAAGAAAGGAAGGAAGGAGGAAATAAAGAGAGAGAGAGAAAGGGAGGGGGGGAGAAGGAAGGACTTGAGGGCGCCATGCCTGGGAAGCCAGCGATCCCAGCAGATGGGATGGCTGCAGGACCAACCATGTGGGCCTTGTAAAATAAGATCCAGGGCTGCTGTTTATCCTGAGGAGTCAGGAAGGAGGAAACCAGACGGAACATGGAGGGTGGAGGCCTATGAGGAAGGAGATGCTGCGGGCTGTGTGAGCGTTGACAAACAGCTAATAAGGCACTGACCGTGGGCTGAGAGTATGGGTGATCTGATTCTGGATATGTCTGGGAGGCTGATTCTAAAGGCCAGAGTACTGACTGTGAGCTTTGAAGCAATGAGAGAGATCAATTGGGGTGAGGACACGGTCGGAGCTTAAAGAGCTCCAGAGAATCCTGTCACAGCGGATGGCAGGAGTGGGGCAGTCGCGGCCGTCCCCCTGGCAGGGTAAAATCTGGTAACGCATGAGGAGAGGAACCACCTTCATCCTATCCACCCTGAGTCCTGTAGTTGCAGGTACCTACGTTCTAGGCAGAGCCCAGGAGAGCCTCTGGCCCAGTGAGCAAAGAGTGCAAGACCAGAGCCAAGCCAGCCACGGAACAGAGCCTGAGGAACTCAGGCGAGCTAAAGAGAGAGGACTCAAAATAATTAGTGAGCAGAGTGTGTAATTAAGTGCTAAATTGTGTGTTGCAGACTGGTTGAGCTGCAGGAGTATGGGGTGGGGGTGGCTGGGGAAGGAGGGTGCTCCTCAGACGGACAGGGTTTCCAGACGTGTGCATAACGGCAAGGGGTGGGGTCAGGTTACAGTGAGGTGGGGGGGGCGCAGGGGTGCTAAGGAGAGAACTCCCAGAGCCATGGAAGAGGAGCACAGTACATGAGCCAGGAACCCTCGGCACACAGTGCCACACTACTGGGCCTCAGGTGCCATGTCTGTGAAATATGATTGCTTGTACCTAGGGACATTAGTGGCACTCGGCTATGTTCAGGCCCACGGTGGGGTCTGGAACTGGGAATGCCAGCCAGACAAGTGGGTGGGCAGGCAGGCAAGGGAGACCTGGATGGACAGGTAAACAACTCCATTTGGCCCCCTAGACTGACCCCGCAGGACCCCTGGTACAAATCCTACACACTCTTACTGTATACCTTATCCTACTAGAGTATAAGGCTGCATGGTGGCCTGGTTTGATCGAGACTCAAGGACCCTGTATAACCCGGTGACCTCACTGAGGCTCTAAGAAGTTGGGAATGCTGGGAGAAGGCCCTGTGGAAATTACAGGCCCCAGGAAAGCGAACGTGGGAACCTCAAAGCCCAACAAGACTCAAACAATTGGAGTTCACAGTTGGGCAGGAGTGGGCCTGTTTGAAAGGCAAGCCAGGAGGATCAGGCTCCAACAGGGACAGGCAGGGCCTGCCAGGGCACCGAGGCCAGCGGCTAGAAAAGGAATCAGCATGCAGGAAGCCCCCCTTTTCAGTTCTGTGTTTGCAATGTGGCTTAGCACATGCCGCCTGTTAAACAAATGTTATGACAGGACTGCTTGAGCACCCAGAAACAGCAGTGACACTCAGCTGTCACCAAGGGTGGCCTGCAATGGGGCACTCTTCTCTAGCCAGAGCCTCCAAGGTTCACACATGGGCAGAAGGAAGACAGCATCATAGGATTCTTCCATCCCTCCAGGCATGGCCCTACCCATTAACAAGTCTTGGGATCTAAGACACAGAGCTGTCTGGCTGCAAATGATTCCCAAGTACAGTAGGCAAACCAGAGAGGAATAAGAGTTCAACTTGCGCAGGGCCCATGTAAAGACAGAGCATAAAGCCTCAAGGTGAAGAGGTTAAGATGGAGGTTTAGCGATCTGGGACAGACTTGGGGACAGAGACCCAAACAAAATGAAGGAACCAATAGGGATGCGGAAGAAGAAAATAAGCACTGAACAGCACGAGCAAAGGTCCCGGGGCCAAATGATGCCTGGGAGTTTCTGAGACTGTAAAGGAAACAGGAGTGATGGCAGGAGATTGAACACAAGGTGCCAACCTCCTGAGTCCAGTGAGGCACCTGGATCTGTGCATGGGCCACAAGGCCATTGGAACGGATGGAGCAGGAGGAACAGGATCTGAGTTCAGAATGAATATGGCTTCTTTGGGTGCTGGGGGAAAGAGGGGTGACTAAGAGCAGAAAGAGGGAGGCTGGATATCGGGAATGGGTGGCTCTACATGGGAAGTTGCCACGGGATGGGGATCAGTGTGTCTAGGGTAGCCGGAACAGGACCTCTTGACAGAGGAAATGCGGGGTCTCAGGAACAAGGAGGTCTACAGGCTTCCAAAGAACGCCAAGCCTTCTCATTCATTCATTCATTCATCTAGTCTCCACTCATTTCTCTTTTTGGGGGGAATGAGGAGGAAATGATGACGGACGTGAAGATCTGGTAAGAACATTGCTTGTCAGAGTGAGTTACTTACCCCTTTATCAACAGGGTAGTAAACAAACACACCTTCCACAGTCATTCAGAATGAAAGCAGGCAGTTCTGAGACTGGGAGAGATTTCTACCCACCAGACCTTTGATCTCTAGAACAAACACTGCCCAACCGGATGCAGGCCTCTGGGAATGCTGGGAACCAACAGAAACAGTCCAGCCCAGGTTAGCCCTACAGCCCCAGTCCAGCCCAGGCTGGCCCTATAGCACCTGGGCACTGAGTACTCTGATCAGCCAGAGTGTCAAGGGAGGGCCAGGGAGGTATTCTGAAGATGGTGACCTGTGAGCCCAGCTGAAGACGCAGCTGGGACCAGAGATGTCTGGACAACGATGAGGAGAACATGTATAATAAAGCAAACAGGGCTGGCACCAGGAGGCTGTGGGTCCCAAGAGATCTCTTACACCTCTGGGAATGTGAACTTTGCCCACCGGGCTAGGCTAGCACAGGAAAAGAACCATCCTGTCACTCAAGATGACAGAGCTCCCTGAGGCTCCTCCTACTTGGACCCCACCCAGTGCCTTTCTACGGAGTCCTCTGTCCTCTCAGCCCTAGTCCCAACGTTACTTTGAGACCGTGGCAAGTCCCCTGCTTGCTGTGGGCCTCCATGGAAGGTTTAAATTCAATCTGTTCTTTGCAGAGTCAGGGACACAGGCACATGAACCAGCAGCCCTCGGAGGACTGTATCCAAGGCCGTAGCGCAGCTGAACAGCCAATTTCACTATCTTTAAACAAAGCTTCCAGATGGGGCGCTGCTGTCTGTGGGTGCGCTAGCCGGCTGCTTCAGTGATCCACTAATTGGGTCTCCAGGGAAGGGGCTGAGGAAGAGCAGCCTCTACCCCATCCATCGGTCCATCCGCCCGTCCATCCATTCACCGAGAGTCTACCATGTGAATGGGGATACTAAGGGGTTATTGTGGTTAATGGGAAGACAGCATTGCACAGATGGGCCAGCTGGCCCACCGTGCCTACACAGGGAACAGTCCCCAAAGCCCATAGGGCAGAAAGTTAAACTGGATTGATTGGCAAAGAAGGATCATCTCCCAGGAGATAAATTTTAAGCTGAGACCTGGCAGGTGAGATGGGACCAGCGGGCCACCATGGGGAAGGAACTTCCAACAGGCGCCTGTAAAACAAGGTTGAGAACAAATCTAATCTTAGAGGGATTGAAGTGCTGTATTTGGGCTGATGGGTATGGCCAGGAGGAGGAAAAGACAGGATACCAGCAAGTGCCTGTGAATAGGAAGAAAGGCTTGTCACAGCTAAATTGCTCCCCCTGCTGGACAGGGCTGGGTTGACCAACAATGTGTTCAATTGCTGAATTGGGAACCTAAGGGTCAGCTTGGTTGGACCCAACCCAGAAAACTTTTTTCTTCTACCTGAAAAGTCTGGAAAAACCTGGATCTATTGCCAGCTCTCATGAACTGGGCAACTGAAATGGGAGGTTGAAGCAGGATGGAAAAGTCGAGGCCAGCATGAGCTACAAAATGAGCCTGTCGAAGAAACCAAAGTCAATGAGATGAAACTTCATACAAGCGGGTCACTTTCCAGGACCTCTTGCACTGTCTGGCTGAGGTGGTCTGGCATCACACGAGGCCTCATCTGTCTTCTGTGTCCAGCCTCTGGGCCACCTCTCTGGGACCCTCCATGGCCAAGAGTCCCTTTCTAAGCTGAAAAGGGACTCCCACCCCACACACACACACACCATTCCAAGGCTGTCTCTTCATCTCCCTGCCTACAGACCTGGGAACAAAACTCTTTAGGATATGACTAAATTCGGAAACCTCCACAGCCAGGCTCCATGGGCCAACTGAGGCTCAGTGGGACTCAGAATCACCCTGTCAGGCACCCCGGATGACTTGCAAGGCATAAAGAAAAGCATTCTTCCTAAGCCTTGGAGCTCTTCCATTTACCTGTGTGATTCTGGGAGTGGCTGAGCTCTCTGAAGCTCTGGGTCTTCATCCATAAAGACCAGCTCCCAGCAGTGGCCTCAGTGTCTACCTTCCTGGGTGATGAAGCCAGGTCAGGAAGGGCCGTGGAGTGGTGCCAGGGTCTATCTGAAGGTGACAGGCAGCCTAAAGGATTGGAACCCATGCAACAGTGGCCCCCAGCCCATCAGTCCAGGCCACTCGATTCAGCAAGAGAGAAGGACCCAGACTGGAATGACGGAGAGGGGAGAAGCAGCCAGGGAGGGAGGGGCTAAGCAGTAGTATACAGCGCAGGCCAGGCCAGAGCTGGGATGAGAGGGTGGGTGGGGACCAGAGAGCAGATGTGATCTGGCGTCCCAGGAGGGGCATAGGAGGGGTACAGGATAGAGTAAAGACTGAAATCTAGGCAGGGAGCTTGGGCACGACACCGTGAGATGATGGAGGACACAGCTGAGCTCCACAGCATCTGGGCTATGCATCTCAGAGTGGGGCATTCACAAGGGTCTCCCTCTCCCTGCTTCTCTCTCTTCTCCCTGCCCTGCTCTATCCCCTCTTTATGTCTTCTTTTGCTTTGCCTGTCTCCTTGGAGTCTGGTGCCACAGCACCCCCTGCTGTCCTCACACGGCACTGCCTCCAGTCTGTTCAAACCGCCTGCTTTCTGTAACCACATCACCCTCTCTGGATCATGCTTCCTGAGGGACACAGCTCCAAGGCCAGACTGGTGCTGTGGTGGGAGCCCAGCCAGAGCATCTGGTTCTGGAGGACAAGGCCTGGGGTCCCCACCTGTGCACCAGCCACTGTGGTAGGGCAAGCAAAATGCAGGCGCCCCAAGACTCCAACTGTGCTAGATAATTAATCCACTAAACCCTCCTCTTCCTCAGCTTCCCTCCGGCACCTGGAGCAGAGTGCTGCATACAGAAAGAGAGTCTCTGCACGCAGAGGTGGCTTCTCGCTTGGTGTCAGAGCTGGAGAGTGGCCATGGTAAAGCTGGGCTTGGGGAAGGACAGCCCAGGAACTGACTTCAAATTTAAAACACACTTATAAAGCAAAGGAGGAAATAAGTCACTCCGCAGATGGGAAACTGCAGTCCTTCCCAAGCCTAATGCGAGGTCAGCACAGAAAACAGCCCCACAGAGAAAAAACAAAAGCCAAGAACCAGCAGAGACCGGTAGCAGAAGGACTGCAGCCTCCAACAAATGGCCCTGAGTTGGACAATCCCTGTCTCTGCAAATGATGAGTGAACCAAGGGATATGCAGGCACCATTAGTCACCATCAGAACTGCAGAGTGACCTCAGGTGTGCCTAAAACACCATGGAAACAGAGCCCTGCTAGGCTGCCAGGAACCACCAAGGACGGACCCAGCAGAAGCTGACCGCTCCTGCAGACTCCGGCCGCCTCCACACCTGCATCGCAGAAGCTAGGGCATTGTCACCTTGGAAATGCTGACAGCACCCTGCCCGGGAGCTGGTGTTACGTAAGTTCTGCGAGGTCACAGGAGGAGGGCCTCTGGCTGTTGAGGGCCACAAGCACCAAGTACAGCAGAGAACTCCAGGCTCTATGCTCAGAAACCTCTCAGCTGGCTAGAAAACCTCCAGAAATGAGGCCCATCCCTCACAGGGTGGCTAGACTCAAAGCCCTCCTCACACTCAGGGAGGACCCACCTCCCCGCCCCATACCATCCTCAGAGTCCAGTTGCTCTATGCTCCAGCAAAAACCACCAAGACCCCATGGTCTTAGGCTATTCGTTGATGTGGTGGCTCCTACTGAGTGAGTGACACAGCCAGTCCCCTTTCCTCTCTAAATCAACATAAGTAACCTGTCCTCTTTCACACAGAGACGAGGCCAGGATCCCCTAACTCTTCCCTGACTCCATGGTTTAGTCACAGCATTTGGTTTTGCCTAAATTGGGCATTCTGGGCAGACCCTAGGCCTTTACATATTATTCCTTCTGCCTGAGAAGCGCCTATGCCTGCATTTTCTCTCCTCTATCACTTTGGAGAGGCTCGCTGCCTACTCCAGCTAACAGTATCCTCTTTCCACCCCCCACCTTCTCATCCAGTCTATTATTTGCCTATTATCTGTGATCTCTAATAGAACACAAACCCAGAGGACAGGGGCCCTGTCTGTCCCATATACCACCAGAGCCTAGTGTCTAGAACTGTGTCTGGCACATAGTAGTTATTCAGTAAACATATGCAAGGGGGCAGGTCTGACGGGGGCTGCATACAGGACCACAGTGGGGGTCCAGCTGTAAGCTCTGCAATCCCCAGCATCCTTTTAGGCCCCATGCATTGACAGCCCCTGCTTTTGTGTCCCTTCCCCTCCCACCAGCCTCCACGGGCAGAGACGAGACCAAGAGGTCATGTGTCTCCTAGAGACACACTGGGGTGGGGGTGGGGCTCAGTTCAATAGTAAGCAGTGTGATACCTAATCACTCTGATCCTGGTGCAGGACAGTCTCGGGGAGGATCCCCAGTAGTCCAGCTAGCCCCACAGACAACTAGCATTGCAGCCAGACAGAACAAAGAGGCAGAGCCCAGAGGGGGCCACTCACAACCACGGACTCCCGACTCCCTCACACTGTCTCAGCCCTTCTGAAGGCCTGGCTACCCACAGGACTTGGACAGAAGGGGCCTTGAGAACAGAAGCACAGATGCAGGTGCTGTGAGGTATTGGTGAGTGGAGGAGGGGGACGGACGAGCAGGTGCTCGGCTGCTCCTGTGGATGCCTCTGACTGGTGCTCTCCTGAGCATGCCTGTGCTGTCTTGTCTTTTGCTTTTAATGTAGACTCTGCAACAGAGGACACACACCAAGCAAAACAGGTGAGCAGTGGAAAGGACCCCCCCCAGCCTGGATCCCACACTTGGCTCCCATTCCCAAGGATAAGCACACCCACCGGATCCTTGCAAGACGTATTTCTGCATACAGAAAGGCAGGGCCACGCACGGACACATGTGGCTGTGCTCTCCAAGCTCGGTTCTGCTTGTTATATTGCTGCACTTGGTGCATCCGGACACTCTTCGTCATCGGAGTTTATCGTGAACCCCTGTGGTGATTCTCCTGAAAGCCCCTGTTCCACAGCGAATCCCCTCTTGTTGGACATTAAGGATACTTCCAGCTCTAAGCTTTTACAGATCATATCTTGATATGCCAATCTTTACACATGCCTCATTTTGCAAGCTGCTTTTCTTTTTTGCTCAATAATAAACGATGCTTATCTTCCCGGGTAAACAGCCCTGCCATTCCTTTGAGAGCTGAATAACATGCCATTGTGCTTTCTAGCCAAAGCAGATGTAACCACTCCCTTACTGAAGTCTAGACTGTTGCCAGCGTTTTGTTATTACAAGCTGCTCTGCAGGGACATTCCTTCAAGCTAAGCCTTGGCACACGTCCTTAATTCTCTCCTCGGCCATGTGCCCAGAGATGGAATTTATAGGTCAAAGGGTATACACTTATTTTTTTGGTGCCATATTTTTAAATCCTTTGGGAGAGAGAGAGAGAGAGAGAGAGAGAAGGAGGGAGGGAGGGAGGGAGGGAGGGGAGGGGGTGGGAAAGAAAGAGAGAGAGAGGAGAGAAAGGAGGGAGGGAGGGGGAGGGAGGGAGAGAGAGAGGAGAGAGAGGAGGGAGGGAGGGGGGAGGGAGGGAGGGAGGGAGAGGGAGAGGGAGGGAGGGAGAGGAGAGAGAGAGAGAGAGAGAGAGAGAGAGAGAGAGAGAGAGAGAGAGAGAGAGAGATCTTCACATCTTCATGGGCTAGGGTATGCCTCTGTAGAGTCCTGTATTCCTGTAGGTGTGCTAAGCTTTCCTGTGGTTTTGCATAGGGCCTGTGTGTGCTTTCTCTCCCTGCCTTTAAAACTGCTGAGCCATATTCTGCTCCTTCCTCGTGGGTGGGAGCAGACAGAAGTCTTTCCCCAGTCTAGAAGCTTTTTCCCTGAGCAAAATGTGGGTGGAGCTGTAGATCTTCCTGGAGTTCCTGGCTGACCTGAGCAGCCAGAGTGGAAAGCCGTCCCTAGCAGGGAGTGGTGGTATGTCTATAACCACAGCTGCTCAGAGGCTGTGTTGGCCCAAGACCCATGACATACATCTCACCAGGAGGAAACATTACCCATACTCAAGCAGAGGAGCCTGGTTCAAAAACTAGAGGTAGGAGTTCCAGGCCAGCCTGGTCTATAGAGGAAATTCCAGGCCAGACAGTGCTACATAGTGAGACCCTGTTACAAAACAAACAAAAAACCTAGAGGGCAACATCCAAAGGCACCCAAGTCAGGAAAGACTGAAGAATGTTCCAGATTAAAGAGAAGCTGGAGGTGAACCAGCTCAACTCCAAAGGGCCTGACTTGATGCCTTAGGCATTAGAAGCATCACTAGGCCCACTGATCAGGCAGGGCCTGAGGGTTGACCTGGGCGCCTCCCATTGGTGTCACTGCCTGCGGTAGGTGGTGGTATTGGAGTCATTGGAGGGAAGACCCACCTCTCCCTGCACTCTCTGGTCTTCCAGCCTGCCTGCGTGTTCTCTGCTCAAACACAGCCTCCCTTTGGCCCAAGACAGACAGGATAGGACCAGAGGGACTGGATCAATGACACTGTGGCAACCTCAGCCACCAGGTGGGCAGCCTAAATAGTTCTGAGAATAATGAGACAGAGGAGGAGATTCCACTGACCCTGCAGTGCTGGGCAGGTGTCAGGCATTTCTAAAGTCACCATTGTTAATTATAACTCCTCTAGGTTCTTACTGTCAGCACATCCTTCTGATGTCTATGTTCCTGCAATTTGACTCCCTGCTTAGCAGCTTTTAGATTCTCCATGGCTTCTCTGAGCAAAAGGCAAAAAGACTATCAGATTACCCTTATACACTGAGAAAACTTCGCAACAACTGCAGCTGCTTGCTGCAACTCTCGGAAGTGCAGCTTCAACCACAGCTGTTTCAGTATAAGACTTTTGTTATTACAAGTCTTGGTGAACTCTAGGCGACTCTGAAACCATTTCTTCCTAGAGGCCAGAGGAGGAAGACTACTTTCTCTGGTGGCCTGGAAGAGGGACTGCTGTGACTGTGGCTGTGAATGGCCCAGACATAAACTTCCCTAGATGTGATTGGAGCTAAAGGAGTAAGGCCCAAATTCAACCCTTCATCATGTGAGGCTGGCTGTGATTGGTGCTTTTCAACCCTTCATCATGTGAGGCTGGCTGTGATTGGTGCAAACACAAGCTGTCATTTACATGTGAGGTTAGTCTGAGCCATGCACTAGCCTCAATTAAGGTTTTAGAAACAGGCTGTTCAACTCACTTGGCTCAGTGCTAAAAGAACAAAATGTGTGTTCCAATAAGGTGGTTCCCAGTGACAGCCTGTCCTGAGCTCCCCACTCAGGACTAGTGACAACGCCAGAGCTTGCTTGCTTCCACCTGACGAAGCCCCTTTATCAACAGCATCCCAAGAAGCTCTCCTGGATTGAAGAAGCAGGCAGAAGGCACACAGCAGCTTCAGTCTGTACCCTGTGGACTCTGGTGCTGGGTTGTCATGTTCTGGCCCCATGGGTCTAAAGGATAGTTCTACCCTTGGCAATCTTGAAAGGCTTTGATCTCAAGACTCCTTTACATTGTTAAACACTGAGGACCTTGGTGTCCATTCTCACTGTCTACATTCATGACACTCGTTGTTAAACACACTTTTCCTTTTGTTTAAGGAAAGGTCTTATGTAGCCCAAACTGGCCTCAGGCTAGTTATATAGCTGAGGATAACCTTGAATTCTTGATCTTCCGCCTACAGCTCCCAAGTGCTGAGATTACAGGCATGGGTCATCATACCTGGCTTAAAGACTTTTTAAAAATAATTTTTAGGCTGGACAGTGGTGGCACACGCCTTTAATCCCAGCACTTGGGAGGCAGAGGCAGAGGGATACCTGAATTTGAGGCCAGTCTGGTCTACAGAGTGAGTTCCAGTATAGCCAGGGCTACACAGAGAAACCATGTCTTAAAAAATGCTACTACTACTAATAATAACAATAATTTAAAAAATGCATTAGTTGCTGGGCATTGGTGGTGCACACCTTTAATCCCAGCACTCGGAAGGCAGAGGCAGGTGGATCTCTGTGAGTTTGAGGCCAGCCTGGTCTACAGAGCAAGTTCCAGGACAGGCTCCAAAACAATACAGAGAAACCCTGTCTCGAAAAACAAAACAAAACAAAATACATTAGTTAACTAATTAATTTACTTATTGTGTGTGTTTGCAAACATACCATGGTACACATACAGAGGTCAGAGGACAGCTTAGAAGAGTTACTTCTCTCCTTTCACCATGTGAGTCCCAGTGATCCAAATTAGATTGTCCAGCTTGGTGGTAAATATCTACTGACCCATCACAGTATCCTCTAACATAGATTTTAAAATGATTGTTCTGGTGACAGTCTTACTTAGGTAGTCCAGGCTGGTCTTGAATTTGAAATCCTCCTGCCTCAACCTCTCAAGTGCTAGGATTCCTGGTGTGCCACCACACCTAGCCCAAGAGACTTTTAAAGGGCACTCATACATTCTTGCTCATCCTCCTAGCTGCCAGAGTTATGATGTCAACACAGAATGTGCCTAGAAAATTCTACTGGACATCTGTGAGAAAATGAGAAGACAGGGGCTGTCTTACATTATTTAAAAATGGTAATGATTTCAAAAACTCCTTTGAGGGTCTGGAGAGATGGCTCAGCGGTTAAAGAGCACTGGCTGCTGTTTCAGAGGTCTTAAGTTCTTTTCCCAGTAACCACATGGGAGCTCAGTAACCACATGGAAGCTCACAACCATCTATAGTGGGATCAGATGCCCTCTTCTGGGACAAAGTTTTACATGCAGACAGAGCACTCAGACATAAAATAAATAAATACATCTTTTAAAAAAACAATAACTCCTTTGCAAGGTCTCAGGACCCCAGTTTGAGAATTCCTGGTCTGTGTCATGACCCTGCTTCTAAATCTTCAGGGACTGTTAAAACCACTGGGGAGAAAATAGCAGCATAAGTGGCACTCAGATGTGTAAACTATGACCACGGTGACTTTGTTCCTCAGAACAACACCCAGAAGGGCTTTCAAGGAAGTCAGATGCAGAACGTGTGTCACAGCGGTGTCATAGCACCCCTTGTTATCACAGTTACCAAACAACTCAAATTGACAGGAGAATTGACAAGTAAATGATGCCATTTATGTGACAGTGGCACACAGGCGTCTTGAGCGTTAGCACCAGTCCCTAAATCAAAGCCAAATGAGCCAGCAAGTTGTGGGAGGTGATTCAGAACAAACCGGTTAGGTACACTTCAAAAGCAGACATGACAGAGGTGGCATGTTGTGTACACACACGCACACACACACACACACACGAGAGGGGGGTTTCAGTTTCCTGCTGTGGGTCAGATTGGAAAAGAAGGGACAGACACAGGTTTTTCCACTGTACCCATGATGCTTCATTCCTAAAATCACTGCTTCAGGACCCAGTGACAATGGGAAAGTGTAGGACTCCAGGCAGGAGTGGTGTGAACCACACCAGCCTCTGAGCCCATTCCCAGTCCCGACAGCCGGATGCCAGCTGTCTACCTAACTAACATCCATCTCTTTCCTTTCTTATGGAAAATGGCAGTCCCTTAAAACAAGTCAGACAAGCCCAGCTACCTTCATAGTGACTCTTTTAGCCACTTTTGGCCAACAAGGGGTTGTGGCCAAACTCTTCTCATGTACAAGGTGTGATTGGGGTAGCATTCAGACACTGCAGGACTAGACAGTTGGAGTCACTGTCCTGTGCAAGACATTTAGGACTTAGGACAGCAGGGCACAATACAGAGGGGCCTAGGTCATGGGTGACATCATGGGGCCCCTATGCCAGCCTGGACCTCAGGCTGTCTTCTTGACTGGAGTCAGTGTGGTCCAGCTGGGGTCTACTCACAGCCATGCATCCTCGAGCACTGCTCACACGGGAGCACCGCTCACACGGGAACACCGCTCACATCGGAGCACCGCTCACATCGGAGCACCGCTCACACCGAAGCACCGCTCACACCGCCCACGCTGGACTGTACCTCCCAAGCTTATCCCGAATATGTTTGCTCACTGAAGACGCAATGGCATGCCCTCCACCTCACTTCTTCCCCCTTAGCATCTCTAAGGAGGAAGCCTTCCTAGGCACAGCAGAGCTCAACAGGACCTTAGCATGTGAGCCACTCAGCCTGCAAGCAGCAGGATCTAGCTGTGTGCGAACAGGGCACA